GTTTATTCAAAAAAAAAAAAGTTGAGAAAACTGTTGCTATAAAATTAATTGCTATAATAAAATTTCAGTTAATTTAATTAAATGATTGAAAAACAATTTAAATATCATCCTATGTATATGCCAATAGCAATGCTAACTTTATATCATGGGCATTTTCAGAGGGGGCAAATGGGGCACTCGTCTCCTGGAATCCAGTAAAAAGTTCCACAAATTATAATTGTAAAAGTGATTTGAAATGCATAACCTTACACCCTCCACTATCAGATGCTTTGTCTGTCTTTTTGTATTGATACAATACTGTATTCTATAATTTAATTGTTAAAAAAACACCCAAAATATTAAATAATTAATGTAATTATTTGACTCTAAGCTTTGCCCCCTGGAAAATTTTCTATGGATATCCATGCTTTATACTATGATAAAATATATTTTTTTTATATAAAATAAATAATTTAATTCCTATATAGTTTACATCGCATTTATTTATTTATGGTGCCATTTTTAATTGAATAGAAGGATGTTTAAAGTACTTCTGTAAGCAATTTCTTAGCCAAAAGTATTCATTGCATAACAATAAAATTAAACTGTATATGTGGGTTAACCAATTATCATTCTTTATACTTGTTTTTGTTTATAAGTTATATATATGCGATTATGAGAGAAGATATTTGTAATCTGTTTAGTTAAATCTTTGATTATTGGACCACATAGTGTTTAAAGAATACAAAAATTATTGTTACTTTATTGACAATAGCCTTAAAAAATGGAGTTATTTAGTGTATTTACTTAGTGTTTTGTATGTTCGCACGTAACNACACAAATGAAAGATTTTTTTGACGATTATAAGTCTTAACATTGGTAATTTATGTCGCGCGCCTTGCTCGACAATTAATAAATATAAAAATTCAATTATTTTATTGTGTATATTATTATTTTTTCTACTGTAGAATACAGTAGACCCCCCCTATAACACTGTAGATAATTCTGTTTTATATGAATTCCATGTTGTACGAGTCACTTAGATTTTACAAATATGTGCGCCAGGCTGTGAACGGCTTACGTATTTGTAAAATCTAAGTGACTCGTACAACATGGAATTCATATAAAACGGAAAAATCAACAGTGTTATAGGGGGGTCGACTGTATACAACTTGAAATGTTTTTCTTGTACTGTACATCTTTCTATGTTTTTATTAAGGTTTTACATCAGTTTTATTAAACACTTTTACGCACTTTTTATAAAATTTTCAACTGTTAAATCATTTTTCATAATTAATAATGTCATTAATATAGAATTTTCTATAAAATTCTGAATGTGTTACGCGAAAAAATCGAAAGAAATAAAAGAGAAAGTGCATATCTTATCAATAGGAAATGGTAATTTAGATAGTAGTTTTGAACAAATGAATGGGATCGTTCATGTGAGAGAAGCTCAATTTTCAATTGATTGAATAAGTTTATTCACCTTTACGAATAAAAGCTGTTGCATAAAAATATAATAATCCCAGGTGAATAACCGGAATTACGTTTACCAACTGAGATTATCACTCAATCATTTATTTAGATGCGAAAGAAAGAAAGAAAAAAAAAAATGTATTTTATTTTTTTTCAACAAAAATTAATTCCGAATTTATTTATTTTTCCTGAAAGGATACAACTTTTAAGTATTTTCTATTATAAAATTAATTAACTAGAACTGGTTTTTCGTATTTTCCATTAAAATTATTTTCCTTAATGTCTGGTCACGTTAAAAGTATAGTAGTAAAAGAGATTAATTATGTAATAAATCTGAACGAATTTGTTAATATATATGGAAAAACGTGTGTATTTATTATCAGTACAAGATATTTAATAATATTATAAACTTTCACGACTTCAAAATGAATTAAAGACGTTTCGTATTATCATAGGCAGTCCTCTGCGTAATAAGAAAGAAATAGTGAAATGGTCGGTTAGCGATACGATTTTCTTATCAGCGATTGGACAAAAATATAGTTAATTTAATGCTTACGTCAATATGACGTCGTCTCTTTACTTTTAAATAAAAAAATTCGAAAGAACTACGTCAAATTGACGTAAAAATATACATTATTCTATCCAGACGAATTGATTCTTTTATAATTGTATCGTTAATTATCGTCAAATAGTGTATTAGTTAATAATAATGACGACGAAATATGGTAATGAAATATAAAAAGAAAAACGAATAATTATTTACGTGACATCGTCAAAATGCCGGGCTGAAATTTTTAATCACATTTTTAATTTAAAATATATGCTCTCCATCTCAAATTAGTAGTGGCTTGCCCCTGTACATCGTACTTTTCCTTTAACAGTGGGGTCATGCCGGTCATCTATCTAACACCTTTCGGGGGAACATTTTTGAACTAGAATAACATAACTTGTGGTTTGCATTGGAAGTTCTTATATACTTAATTGGGGCATCCTGCCCCTAAGGTTCCCATATCTGATCTCGTCTTTCATCCATCTAACTCAGTTCTCGAGATGAAAGACAGACAGACAGACGGACGACAGTGGGAATTTATAATCTACAATTTTTTTCAAACTTCAGCCCAATTAAGACTGATAATTATTTTTAAACATTGTCTTTATTTATCATAAAATATCATATTTATTACAAAGAATCTTTTTCTACAGTGCTAGAAGGAATCAATTTATTTATATACAGTTACAATTCAATTATTATTATTTTTCAAAATGTAATATAATAATTCTTTAATAGTTTGACTAATGAAAACATTATGTAATATGTTGCACTATTTTCATTCTTTGATCATGTTGTTGAAGCCATTGTAATAGCATTCAAAAGTATATTGCAAAAATCATATGGTAGTATCATAGTGCGCCAATATTTCTTGTTTTATATCCTAATTAGGATATAAATACTTGCTATTATTTCTATGTAAAGAATTTTTCACTTAAAGTATGCAAATTAACTAAAGAAATAAATCATTGAAAGAATTTTACATCAGAAATTAAGATTTAAACTATAAACTTTTATTGTCTTTCTGACTAAATATTACCTTAACAAATTATTATTTATCTGTTTTCCATTTAAATAATTAAGTTTGAATATTTATATGAAACCAAACAAATGTTTTATTATGGCATTTGAATCAATCCTTCAGTAATATAAATGTAACAATAAATTATAATTATGTAGAAATATAAATTATAATGTATTGTTACATGTTTAAAGATATTTGTTGATACAGATGCAAAGGCAGATCTCTAGGATAATTGGGATAATTAGCCTTATTTTTGTAGTATTGAAATTGCAATATAAACAAATTATTTTTTATATTTATAAAGTATGATAAAAACTTATATATTAAATAATAATTTTCTTTTTACTTTTTTCTATTTCTATGTTTTTTTTATGGATTTTGAATGCTTAGAAAATTAAAATGTCTGCTTAAAAGTAATGATGATGTTGATATAAATATGAATTTTATGAAAGTAGATAAATTATTTAATTATCCAATTATTTAAAATTGCTTTTGTTTTAAGCCATAATGTTTTAAAGTAGTTGTTACTATTTAATTTTCCAGTTATCATTCTTCTAAACTGAATTTATCATTATATAGTATACACAGTGATTATTTTATGTTGTAAGAGGGTCTTATGAAGCGTACTTATAAAACCCTTTGCTACAAGTTTATAATGTAAAGCAGTATAATTATACAATATTTTAATGTTTTAAATGCTCTATAATCCTTACTGACAAATATATATTTATGAAATACCTCTCAAAACGTTAAGTTTCATATAGTCCTGGACTTAAGGTTCCTTTGATAAAAGTTTATATAATGTAAAGCCTTGTCACAGAACTTTTGACATTGTATAGGACATAGGATATTGACTAGTATTGGATTCCAAGTATTGAACTAAGATTGAGTATTGACAAGTGTATATTTATGTATGTCTAAGATGGGTCGTAGACAAAAGCCCCTAGGCAAAAACTTAGGTTGCTTACTTCTAACACTTCAACTAAGTACATATAACTTAATTAAATATGCTCGGGGGACAAAATTACATTCTTTACACGTATGACTAATATTTTTATTTCGCATCCTTTAAATAAAATTTATTTAATCAGTTTTACTTTATTCAGCTTGTCTATATTATGTATAGTCAGAGAAACTTTCTTTTCTGCGTAGCACTATACAATAATATTTTTATATTATTTAAAGATAAGTTAATTGAATGTTATTAAGCAATTTTGTTCTTGCACAATAATTATCCTCTTGTTAATTAATTAAATATTATCTACAATTAACTAATTGAAAAAATATACTTTTTCTCTAGTGTCTTTTAAAGTTTGAATATTTATTTTAGATTTTAAAATATTGCTGTGGTACATGTATGTGTATTATTCTTGAATGTGCATGCCTGTATGTTTGTCTGTATTTTTACTTTTCAAAGTTTTGCAAGTTTTAAACCCAAATATAATTATTACATAGTCATAACATTATTTTTTTAACTATGCATAAAACAGCATACTACAAATAAAGACTATAGCTGTGACAATTTTAGTTTGTGCTAGGTCCTAGATAAGAGCTCAGATTATTTGTGCCTTACTACTAAGTTATAGAGAACTCTGTACAGTTTATATAATGCAAATATAGTTTTTAATTGGCTATATAAATATAGGCTACAGATAAGTAAGTGCCAGATGCAAAGGCATAAAAGTTCTATTAAATTTATCTACATCAAATTATCTGAAGCAAAAAGTTGTGCCTGCATGCCAATATAAATTATACAGATTATGATATTCTATTAAAGTATTGTATTTAACATAGGTCCATAAAAATTATTAAAATGCTTATTATCTATGTAAATAACAAGTTTTAAAAAGTTTGTGTGCTCAAATGGAAAATGATTGTTAATAAATAAAATCTATAAAGTATGAAAACTGACAAATTATTTAAATATTTTAGATGAATTTTGAAATGATTTAACAATTGAAATTTTTCTAGAAGTGGATTCATCATTGACATGTGAGGAAGGGCTGTCTAACTGTCGGTTCACAAACGTCCATAAAAGTATTCTCGACGACCAAAAACTGTCAGATTTATGTAATCGAAACGGAGTGGACCCAACAGTAAGCCTAATGTGCGGTGCAGTGATGGAATTTACTATTTATAAAAACGCAGTAAAGGTTAGTGAAATAGGTAGCCTTTTAAAAATTTCTATTATTATTATAATTTATGTTAGATTTTCTATAATTATTGTTTAAAATATTCTTTATTTTAATCTGTTTCTTAGTATCATTTTTAATAATTGAATAATAGTATATACACAGTAATTTATTCAAGTTCAATACAGGAAAGTCAGTAGAGTTATTTCACTCAGGCCTCATGCATGAAACATAAATGCAAAAAACATTATACAAGTTATGATATAAACCAAATTTATTTTAATAAATGGTTGAAAGATTTGCTTTTATTAATTTTATTTACATATTTTTATGACTGATGTAGAGTAAGGCCTCATATTTCTGACCAATTTCTCTCAGAGAGCATAAAAATATAAATAAAATTGATAAAAAAAAACAAATTTTTTAAAAAACATTTAAAAAAAAGCTTTAAATTTTGGATCCTTCTCTTGTCTTGGCATCAATCAAAATATCCAGTTGCTCCTCTCTATGTGGACTGGGACAAACTAATGAATTATTAAATATAATAATTTTATAGTGAACTATTTAAATTAAAACTGAACAAAATTGCAATATAAAAAAACCCATCAAATTTCAACCATTTTAACTTGTTATACAACAATTATTCTTCTTCTACTTAATATAACTTTTCAAATAAAATATTTTTTCATAATTAGTTTTCAGATCAATTTAAGGTAAGTTTTTATGAATAAAACAAGCTTAAAAAGACATTTAAGCACAAAATTTTATAATTTTTTTTTATATTTTCCAGCAATTGTTTGTATACATCATTACCTAAAATTTATTTTTAGTATTAGAAAATATTAAAAAAATATATTATTATTATTTTTTAATATTTTCTAACTGAATATGTCTTAATGATTTATATAAGTTTTTTCCTTTTTATATATATAAATGTAAACATAATAAAATACAATTTGAATTTGAAATTTTTCAAAACACAAACATTTTTCTTGGTTTATCATAATAGATCCATGTAATATTTATTAAGTAATAAAAATTGTAATATTTATAAAGTTTGAACCCATTTTTCTACTTTTAAAAATTAAAATAAACAAACAACCCTTAGTTTAAACATGATTAAATATTCCATTACATAAAGTAACCATAAAGCAATTCAAGGAAGTTAAACAAAATAAACTTTGTTTTTAAGTAATAAATTCATGAAGTTAAATGTTCAGCCTTAAGTTCTTTCTTAAAATCTGTAAATGATTTTGGGATTATAATACGGGAAAATAATTTAATTAATTAATATTCGCGCGCTTCGCTTCGCGCCTCAGTCGCGACGTGACGCGCGCTAAACCAATATGGCCGTCGATTATTATTTATTCAGTCTACGTTTAATTATATATATATAAATTATACGTGTTTGTTTCATTTGATATTTCAGTGTAAAAAATCGCTTTAAAGTTTTATTATGTTGTTGTTATTTTCAGACCTTCAACACACTAAATACCGTAAACATAATCGGTAAATTAAGCGTTTGTTCAAGGTCGTTTAACTATAGTGTAACATGGTCGTGTTTAACTACTTCGTGGACAAGTCATGACTTACTCATTGACATCATCACTGCCCAAGGTTTAAAATATAATTTTATATACTTTCCATTACGCAAAACGTATCGATTTAATATTATATAATTTATATAAAAATTTAAGAATA